TGGCTTGGAAAAACAATGATCAAACAGTAATTAGTCCCTCTAATGCCGTGAGTTCGAGGGATGACTCCGTTTTCCAACAGTACAACAAATTCTTCATCCTGCAAGCGCCAAGCAGCGGACGAGGAAGTCAAGAAGAGACACAAATAGAATTTTAGATATCAACAAAAACCAGACAGATAAAGACAAATAATAATAAGCCACGCCTCTATACGAAGTAATGAAAATTTCAAAGCTCCTTAAAACCACGCTAAAAATAGTAACAAGGTAAATGGTACACTTGGGATCTCAGGTGATTTTAAGGCAGAGTTCAATCATGAGAATTTGTTGGTTAAAAGGTGAAAATTAATCAATACCACATTTATTATTTTAAATTTGTCTTGTATTTTTTAAAAAAATTAATGTAAAAGGAGTTTTATTATTACTTGAATAATTAATTTTTAGAAATAAAACATAATTATTTTTATCATAAAAAACTCAAAAAGAAATGAATTTATAATTTTTAAAATTAAAAAAATATTGTTGGTGGGTTAGCCCACAAACTCATAGCAAGTTGATAAGTTGGCCTATATGTAACCTGTATAAGATGTGAGTTATGCCAACTCACCCTACAAAACTTACAACTTGTTGCAATCCAACTTGCGAATTATAAGTTAACTCATATTACTAGTTTTAATTTCAATTTATTCATTTAATGAATATTTCACGTAGCATGATAATGATCATTGGGTTCAATGAAAAAGTTGTAGAGATGTTATTATATAATACTAAAAAAATATTAAATCTCAAATTTTTGAAAGAAATAATATATGTGATGAGTACTTTGATCATGATGATTGTTTTCAATTTTTTTTAAAAAGATATCTTTAATAATTTTTAAATATTAATAAAATTTAATGAATATAATCGACGCACTTAATTTACTTTAGTTGAAAGCGCCGACCATTTTCTTGTTCACTAAGGCAAAGTGCATGGAACGCCAAGTAGCTTTTAATTACATAAAAGAACGCAATGCACAGCTTAAAGTGGTATAGCACTAGTAATTATGCATTGATAATGATTGATAATTATTATTAATATAAAGTTAAAATAGACTCTCTCCATTTTAAATTAGAAGACATTTTTAAGGAGTTTTTTTTATCACAAAATATAAGACACTAGTATTTTAAGTGGATTAAAGTTTCAGTAAATACTTTAATAATATTTTCAAAACCAAATCAAATATTAAATTAAAAGGGCCAATAATTTATGGTTCGTATAGTTCAACAGGGTTGGATCAATAGTTGATTGATGATATAATAATTAAATTTAAAAAATTATATATTTATATAATAATCTAAGTATAAGAAATAAATATGAAATTGCTATTTAACTTAAAAATAAAACTAAACATTTTAATTTTATCATGATTTAACAAGTTACATGATACAATATAACATTAAATGATTAAAAAAAATTGATCATTTTGTAAAAAATTTTGATAAATTTTTTTTTTGAACGTTCAGATTTTTAAAAACTAGATTCAATTTCCATCTTGATTGTGATTTCTAGTTTGACTGTCGGTCCAAATCGGCCTAATTCTTCAAATAATTTTTTCATGCTGATCGAGATAAAATCTAAATTGGTCAACCATCCAATCCAGTTTGGTCTTTTAATCATAGTGCTTCAACCATTAAATGTTATACTAATTAACGTGTTTTGTCCGGTGCAATGCCTGTTCCCCAACGAAGGCAGATAATTGACGATTCCCTCACCCATAAGCCATAGTAATATAATATATTTATTTTGAGCAATATTTTGTCGATAAAAAAAATGAATTTTCAATCTAATTGAACGATTAACTAATTCACTATAATGCTTTCTGTTGATATCCTATAAATGTAAAATATTATTTTTGTTGCAATAACTTTAATGTGTGCGGCAGTGTGGGTGTTAAAAAAGAGAAGTCTCACATTATTTAAGATTAATGTGAAAGCTTTAATATGTTCATTATTATCTGTATATATTTATATAGGAAAGAGATGACTATTTGTGTTCCATTTATAAGGTATTTTTTTTTATGAAAAAAATTTCCCTTCACCATTAAATGTTGATGAGAGGAAATAAATTATTAAAATATATATATTTAACAGGGCAAAGCTAGAGACTTATTAAAATTGTAAAGAGAGATTGTGAGTTTGAAGATTTTCTTCAATATTAATAAAATATTAGAAAGGATAGAAGAGTATATATTAAGATTTGTATTAGAGCAAGTAAATAGATTGAGAGCAATGTTTTAAAAATTAGATCAGATGTTGAATCAAAAAAGTTAACGATTTTCAATTTTTATGACTTAATTTATTAAACTAGTGGTTAGATCGATGATGTAGTAATTAAATTAAAATAATATTATATATATATATAAAATATATAATATGTTAATAAAATGATATAACATAATTGTAAATTAATAATATTATAAATTATGAATTGTTGGACTTTAATAATATCTAATTTTTGAATTCTTTTCAGTTTTCTTTAAATTTTTTAAGCTTTTTTAAAATATTATGTTTAAAATTATCAAATTTTGTGAAAATCGCTCCAATTTCTTGTTCAACTCCGGTTTTCAATTTTATAGTGATTCAACTTTAATCTAATTTAGTTCAATTATAAAAATAATTTTTTATCCAAATTAAGCCATTAACTACTTTGATCAACAATCTAACTATTTAGTTTAATTAATTCAATTTTTAAATCATTAATTGAGAGCAAGAATGAGCTTATGAGTCCAACAGGAGGCATGTACGGCTAAAATCGGGCAATATATCTCTCGTGCGCTGGATGCAGATCCTCTCAGCAGCACCTCCCCTCAGCATCCCACATCTCAGTCCTCCAATAAATATTCAATATTCTATATTCTGCCACATCATCTGGTATAAAAATAATTTTATTTTAAAAATTAATTCTTGCATTAAATTAATTTTATTTCATTTTCTATCTTCAAAATTTGTTTTAAAAAATTACTCTACATATTTTTACAAAAGAATTTATAATCCTACTTATTCAAACTCTAACTTGACTTATTTAATGAAAATTTATTTAAAAAAATCTATAAAATTAGTTAAACTTTAAACAGGTATTTATAGTCTGGCTTATTCAAGCTTTGACATAATTTATTTAAAAAAAATTCATAAAATAAGTTAAACTATAAGTAGATGCTTATAGTCAGGCTTATTCAAACTCTAGCATGATCTGTTTAAAAAAAAAATAAAAGAAAATTTTTTTAGAGTAAATTGAAAAAAAATTAATTTTTAAAATAAAATTATTTTTATATCAAGTGATGTGGTAAAATATAAAACATTGAATGTTTATTGGGGCTGTGACCTGAGACGCTGAAAGACGCTGAGAGAAGGTGCTGCTGAGAGGATGTGGACCCTCATGCGCTAGAGTTGAATGCAATGTCAGGAATTATTTTCATTAACAACCTTTTATTTCCAATGTTCAAAACTGGCCCCATGAATGCTGCGAGTTCAAGGGATTTAGATCATCTTCACATTATCTTTTGATATTCTCTATACTCAATCTCATTCATCCATTTAATGATGTCAAATTGCTAATTATGACATTAAAATAAATATATTATTCATTTAATAATTATAATAAATAAGCATTATGAATTTATTTTCAAAAGCACAAATAATCTATTTCATTTTAATACCATGATTAGCAATATAATACCTTTAAATAAAAAAATTAAATGAATGAATGAGAGTAAGTATGAAAAAATGTATTGAGAGAAAGTATAGGGAGAATCTAAATTCAAGTCAAAACACATTGCTTTTGAGCTATGAAGTACTGATATTTTAAATTACCTCACTGTCCTTACATATTTATATCAATATTATATTTGATATCGATATTTCTTCGACATGTATCCATAGAGTATTGAAATATTATTTTTAAATTTTAAGAAATTTTAATTTTTGATACATATCCAATATTTTGAGTCTATTTTTAAGAAATTAAATTTTATTAAATATTGTGGTATCAATTTTTTTTTTGTTTCTAATATGTTTCTATGATTTGCTTTTAAATTCAAAGATTAAAATTTCCTTAAAAAATAAGTTTTAGATATAATAAAAGGATAACAATTTTTTAATCATAAAAATGTAAAAAGATAATCTTTTAGCATATAAATTCTAAGTATAGAAATATTAGCAGAGCCTAAGCAGTAGGTAATTAAGTAAAGATGTAAGATAAGTATAATTAATAATTATGTTTTGCTTAGTATTTCTATAAAAAACTATATACGTATGCTAGGTTTGATATTTTTTAAATTGAAATCATATTTTTAATATTTTTATAATTTTTTATAAATATATTTGCACATATTAGAAATATATCATATTCTATATTTTTTAAAATAAAAATATCGACGTGTTTGATACGTATGCAACATAGCTTTTGAGTTTTCAAGCACTCTTTTTTCCTTCACCTGAGTTATTCCTTTATCATTTGTGCATTTCTGTTGCCGTATCACCTTAGTTTCTTGTAATGAGGGTTTGTTTAATTTTAGAGAGTTGTCGATGTGTAGTAGAATATTTCTTAATGACAAAGTTATTGAGCACGACTTGGACCAGAATTACCACTGCTACCAACAATTATTATTATTATTATTATTTTACCGAAACAATTATTTCATTTAAATCATTTGGATTTTAGCTTTTCCTCTACATATGAAACCTTAGTGATGAAGAAAATGGCAGGTCCGTTAACTAAAGTAAAGCCTACTTTTCTTTTCCTTCCTCATTTACCCCTACTTTTCTCCACTTCATTTCATAAAATATTTCACACCCATCTCCATATATCTTACTACAATTTAATCATTAAACTTTGAATCATTGGTTTGTCTTGAAAACATTCACAATTACACTCGTATAAATCTCACCCAGGCTTCATTCTCACGTACACGAATAAACACTACCCTTCTTCAATCATATATATGTTTGCAGATCGTCATCAAGATGGAGCCGGACCAAAATTCAGACTCCAACAGCGAAATTATTCAGAACGTTGTTCCTTCTCCGCCGTCGTCAACCTCCGATGAAGCTGAGAGGAAGAGGAAGAGGCGCGTGATTCACTTGATGCCTCGGAAGAGGGCGAGGTGGAGGAAGATGGTGCACGTAGAAAATCTCAGATGTGAGGTTGAGAGCCTGAGATCGGAGAATAACAAGCTTCATCGGATCCTTAAACTCAACTTCGAATCCCATCTTAGGGTTCTTGAGGACAACTCTAAGCTCCGGTAAGAAGCTTTCCATTTTCGCCTGTTCGCTGGGAACGATCTTCTGCAACGATGGCTCTTCACTTTCATTATCATGAATCTAGTAATGTTATTCTTTCTTCCTCGACCTCCCATGAAACCGCCGGGAAGAGGCGGTGGCATCAAATGATGGCTCCGAGGAGGAGGACGAGGAAGACGAATTTGGGATGTCTGCTCCTTCTCGTGCATGCTTGTTTTAATGTCCAAATTAAAGTCTCGGGATTGGGATTTCCTTTCAGTGTCTCTCTCTTTCTTGCACTTACATGAGCCAGTGGATTATATTTGAAAAAAACATACAATTTTAAGAAAATAAATAAATAAAAACCTGCCGATGTGAGTGCATGAGAAAAATCAAGAGAGATGCATAGGCAGGTCCAAAATCTGCGGTCATTCATGTAAAGAAATTAAATGATTTGTTTTTCTTATTTTATTATCATTAGTTGAAATGAATGGTGGAAGCTGAGATTTTGAAGACGAGAGAGCATCTCTCCATATTAAATCTCATTCACTTATTTAATTATGCATTTTGTTTGATGACGTAATTAGATTGCTAACTTTGACATTAAAATAAGCATAATATTCCTTTACCAATTATCATTAATAAGCAGTATGATCTTATTTTTAAAAGAGAAAATACTGATGAAGGACTTCTGGAAGAAATTTATATCAGTCAAGAACTATTTATTATTAAAATTTGAATAAAAAAATGTTAAAATAGACTGTTATTAATTTAAAATAAGTTATTGTCAAAACATAAATGAATATTTATTAATAAAAGACTGACTTAAATCAACAAGTATTCATTTAAATTTAACAACAAGTAATCTTTAATTGATATAAATTTCTTCCAATGGCCCCTAATTGATATTTTCCCTTTTAAAAGCAATTAAGTGATGATAGTGAATAACATAATTATTTTACTGCCTTAATTATCAAATCTCACACCATCAAATCAAAACAATAATTAAACCAATTTATTCAAATCTAAATCCGAATGAATTTCCATTTTCAATTCCTATATATTTGATCTGCAATGTATTGTTTTGTGTAGTTTGATATTTCGGGCGCTCAATATAAGACAATAAAATAATTATATATTGCCAATGGACTTGTAGCTTGATTAGTGGCATGTAATATAAGCTCCCTCAAAAGTGGGAGGTAGCAAGTTTGAAATAAACTTAGACATCAAATCATCTATTATTTGATTCATTATTTTTTTAGTCTTACATTTATTAAGACACTCACGTTAATTTATTATTTACAACGATTAATTAATAAATTGATAATGTCAAAAATATTCTCAAGAAGCAAGCTCATCAGACTTCATACGGTGACGGGTTACAGGAGCTGAAATCCATATTCATGTTTAGTTGACTGTGTGTGTTGTTGCACCTCACATAACAAGGTTTTCTTGAATTTTCATATTGCAAATGGAAAACGAATACTCACGGCTTCAAATATTGTCTTTCATGAAAATTTTCAATAAAACTTGATTATTTTTATTATAATAATGTTGCTATAGTACATCATGTATTGTTTACATTTTTAAATTTTTTAAAATCTTGCATTTGTTTTTGTATGTGTCACGGATGGGCAAGAATGACATGGCTTGGGTTTGTCGTTGCCAACTAATGGGCCAAAGGTGACGATTGGGCTGAGTTGTTATGTTGAAATTCAGGGGGTTGAATGTGCAACGTGAATGACACAAAAATAATATTCTTCTCGGACCATAATATAAATTATTATTAATTAATTTATATTTTTTAAAAAATTGCGTAAAATTTTGATTTTTTAAAACTTTTGATATTTTTCCAATCGTTCCCTTAAGCATAATAAACATAACATTTATATCATGTTTGAATACATATGGCTTTGGATTTAAGCCAAATGCATTGTTTGGGTAATTAATAATGTATGGATTTGGATTTGATCCAAGCCTAAATTTAAGTTCCACTTTAATCTCTTTGTAATTTAAAATTCTTTCTAAACTCCTATTATTTAAAATTCTAATTCAATTTCTTTTATAACTTAACCCAAATTCACGAAGCCTTGATTGGCCCGCCAAAAGTAATTGGATTGGACCGTCAAAATTGATGAAAACAAGCCTCCATCATTAATCGAGATTGGATGGTTGACTTCTACCAGGATAGGACCTATGGAGATGATCAAGACTAGAAGGCTGATTTCTACTAGGACTAAATCAACAACGATGGGGACAGAACAACTAACTTTAATCAAGACTGGACTGTCAACGACAACTGAGACTGGATAGCTGACTTCCACTAGGATCAAACCAATGGTGATCATCAAGAGTGGACCCAATCGACAATGACAACGACAACCAGGACTAGACTGATGGTGGACACTAAGGTTAAACGGCTGACTGCCAATGGGACTAAACCGATGGCGATGACATTGAATGAACGATCGATTTTCATCTGGGTAGGATTGATAGCGACAGCGATGATTGGGACTAAATTGGATCGACGATGATGATCAAGATAGGAAGGTAGCAACGATTGGGATTGGACATCTGACTTCTAATGGGACTGGATAGATGGTGACTAGCGGGAGGGGACTGGACCAATGACAATAAGGTTCGGATGGTTGAGTTTCACTGGGACCCTACTGATGGCAATGACCAAGAGGGGACCTGACCAACGACGATGGCGACGACTGGGAGCGGATGACTATCAATTCGGTCCTATTAGAAGCGGGCTATCTAGTCCTCATCATTGTTGGCTTGGTCTTGGTCAAAGTAGGCCATCATGTCTTGGCCTTTATGTATGTCAAGTCCTAATAAAAGTTAGCCGTTCAGTCCTAGTCATTATTGTCGATCTAGTGTCGATGGAAGTCCAGCCCTAGTCCTCGTTATCAGTTTAGTCCTAGTTGAAGTAGGCCTTTAGGTCCCAGTCAATGCCATCGGTCTAGTCCTGGTGGAAGTTAGCAAACCTGTCCTTGTCTTCACTGTAAGTATGGTCTTGTTAAAAGTTGGTCATGCGATCCTTATTGTTTCTATCGATCTGGTCCCATTGGATGTTGGTCATTTAGTCCTTGTCGTTGTCGTTATCAGTGCGACCTCAGTAGAGGTCACCCATCTGATCCTCGTCATAAAGGTTAGTTCGATCTTAGTGGAAGGCAGCTATCTAGTTCCAGTGGAAGTCAGTTGTTTAGTCCCAATCACTGTTGTCGGTTCCATTCTTAATGGAAGTCAGCCATCTTGTTCTAGTCCTCACCATCAGTTCAATCCCTGTAGGATTCAACTATCTGATCTCGATGGAAGTCAGCCATTCAATCTTGGTTATGTTTGTTAGTCCATTCTTGGTCAGAGTCGACTATCCCGTCCCAATCCTCATCATTGGTCCAGTCCTAATGGAAGTTTGCCGTCTGATCCTAGTTGTCACTTCAGTTCAGTCCTGATGGAAGTTGGCTCTCTCGTTTCAATCATTGTCGGTGCTACAATTTCTGTCGGCTTTAATTGTTTGATCTTAGTGGAAGTTGGCCATTGGGACTGCTGGCTTTAACCAGTCATCCAAATTTCTTTTAGATTCAAATATAAAATATAAAATATAAAATTTTACTTTAGGTCCAAACAAAAAATTTAAAGTCTATAAATTTTAAATGTGATATTTTAAATATAAAATTTTAAGTACAAATTCTCAACTTAAATTTACCATCCAAATGCAACATTAACTTATTCAAAACACCTTCATTCATTACTCAATAAAACAATGGTGTGATTGGAAAAGAATACATAACATCTACCAAATGTTTTGTATTTTGGATAAAATAAAAATTTTAAAAAATATCTTATATTGTCGTCTGGAAGGACTATTGATGAATTATCTCCCTTTTCTCTAACCTATCTGCTATGCTTCTTTATGTTTCTCATGAATTATGCTGTAAATGCTTTTATTTGGTTCAAATCAGCTTTAGCCGATATGTCTATTGCCTTAAGCTTGTCTATTAATGAATATTTCCATTTGAATATCATTGTTCCTCCAGTCTTCTCTATAATTTTTGCCTAGCAGGATCAGTGATCATTACGATATGTTGTACTATTGTTGTCTATTTAGTATTTAGTATATGTTATTCACTTAACTTTGTTATATTATTATGATAATTACTCGATTAGGTTCATATGCTTTTAGCGTATTTTGGTACTAGTTTTTATATTATTTTTCATTACTCCTGGTCTCTTAATTAAGTTTCATATGTTTACAATGTTAATTCTTATATTTTTAAACATAACTATAAAGACTTAATAGTAACTAATATGGACAAAAACATGATACTTTTTTATATTGGCTTGTTAAAATTATGAGAAATTGTATAAAAATAAGTAGCAGGCAAAAAATAACAAGCATGACCTTAAATCTCAATTTGCGCATGTCATCCTTGTTCAAGGGCCATGCTACATGATTGTTAGGTAGAAAGGTTAACAACTATTTTTTTTCATACTATATTCAACTCATCATAATTTTATTAACTCAGCAATCAAATTAATATAATTATGCACGCATTAACAGATTTAACTCTATTACTCACAATAAATACTAACATTGTAGACAGATGAAATTTAAGAAACTTGCATGAAGCAATGAAACAAAAAAAATATATAGAGACTATCACAAAAAAAAAAAATGCTAAAAATTCAGCGACTAACAATTATATTTTTTTCTATTATTAATAATAATATACAAGTGGAATGGTGAGAACAAGTTCCAAAATAAATTCACATTGGATTTAACTTATTTATTAATAATTACAAGAGCTTTCCATGCAACACACAGGTTCTCTACTTGAATTATAGATAAGTTAAAATGAGCGTAAAAAAATGTCTAGTATATCAAGCAAGATGCTTTCCTTATCAATGTTACATGTTAATTTATTAAACCAGTCTCAATTTCTAAATATTGTAGAATCATACAAGATATTAAAAATCTGTTTATTCTAATTGTTAGTGATTAAGGAACATCACTAGTTTATTACTAGTTTTCCTAAAACTGAAAGATAGTTTCTACAAAAGCTTTCAAAAGAGTTTTTGCAAGAATTCCAAAAACTTAAATGTGGGCGATTTAAGTTTACATTAGTTCTTACATGGGCTGAGCTTTTTGGATTTTGGGCTAAAATATTGGGCCTCCTTACTAAGGGCTTTGCAATTTAAATGAGCCCAAAAAATTTCATTGGCCCGGCTTCCCGAGGAATTTTATGTGCCTTTTTATTTATTTATTTATTTATTATTGCTTACCATAAAGTTGTGGACGTCAGCATTTTTTCCCTCGTTATTTTAATCTTTTTCCAAGCTTCATCCGTGCGCGCGCGCGTGTTTAATTTCACGTTTGGATTAGATAAGACATGCATCTCGGTGGTCCAGATTTTATTTTGACAGATCAATTTTAATTTTTCTAAAATATCTAATACGATAAATAAAAAAAAATGTTTCAAAGAAACACGATACACAAAACTATTATAAAACTTTAAAATAATTAAATAATAAATTATTTTTATAAACAAATCAAATTAGATCTCATAAAATTTAAAAATAACTAATTACTATATTGGAACCAAACATGAAATAATGTTTTTTAAATAAAATCTCTATAAAATGATATTTCATTATAAAATTTCTAAGCTATATAAACATAATTATTTTTAAATTCTAAAGAAACAGGTTATAGCTAATTGACAAGAATGTCTGGTAGTTTAGCGATATGAAAGATCTTTTATAGACAAAAGATTATTGTTGGTTTGATCTCAAATATGCCATCAGGATCGTAGTACGCCACGTCTTGTAGAAGCATTACATACACGTGTTGTGTGCATCAAATATTAAATTGTCATTAATTAGTTTCTATAAAATAATTAACCAAATCTGATGAAACACGTGCATGGTTAGGTCTCCTGATGTTGAATGAGTGAGGGAAGGATGACAATCATAGAGCTTATCTTGTTCGTTTGCATCACTGCAAAATTTGTCACCTAATCTCAGACTTGATTTGATTAAAATAGACAAAGAGAAAGAGAGAGAAATTTAGAGGAATTGAAGAGAGAGAAAAGTTTGGGTTGCCTCCAATAATGGAGAACAGGGTGGAGACAATTCACATAACAACAGCCAATATTGGCTTTGATACCAAACAAAAGGCGCGTCACTACAGATTATATGGCCCTGTTTGATATGAAAGATTAGTAAGGTAAGATTGGGAATAAGATTAGCTAGTACTAATTTTTTATGTTTGGTATGAGGTAATGGAACTATTAAGGGTAAGTTTGATTTTTATTTTTTAAAACTTGAAAAATTTTAAAAAACCTTGTTTGAGTGGATGCTTTCAATTTAAATGATTTTTAATTTTATCTTAAAATTAAAAAATAGAAATATCTTAAAATTACTTATTCAAAACATATTACATGAAGCTATTATCATCCCCATTGTCACCTATTATTGGTTGCCATTGCCAATCCCTCCTCGTTGTTACCATTGGCCGCACCACCCTTGATTGCTGCTATCTTCTACCACTTCAATTGTGACCTATTACCAATAGCCACTACCATTGATTATTGCTAGCTAGCTAACCTCTACTTGTTGTAAAGTATCACTTGTTAGCCACCATCAATAGCTATCATTGGTTATCACCATTAATCATTGCCATTGACCACCACTGTTGGATACATTGGATGCCTTAGCCAACAACCATCATTATTAGCCATGGCCAACCACCAACATATATTGACAACACAAACCTCTATCAACACCACTGTAGAAATTGTATTTAACATCATCTTTTAACATTGATTATTACAAAAACTCTTGTTAAAAAAAGGTAGTGGCTTATTTGTAAATAAAGTGAACACATTTAACGTCGGTTTTTCAAAAAACTATTGTAAAAAGTAATTTAATGTCGGTTATTTTGAACATTGCATGTCGGTTTTGTATATAACCAACATGAAATAATAATAAAAAATAAAAAACTTAATGCCTTTTAACATCGATTTTTAGTGAAAACCAACATTAAAAATTTTAAAAATAAAAAATTTGAAAAATCTAGGAATCAATGTGAATAAATAAAACCACATTGGTTTGCACGCAGAACCTGGATTTCAGTTTTAGTTTCGCATTTCTCTGCTCTAGCATTGAAAGGTCACACCTTTTCCTTCCATTGTCTCCATCTAGAACATTCGATCATCATTGCCATCGTGGGTCCATTTATTTTCCCCCGAGAGCCCTCATTCTACCTTCTTCTTTCTTCTTCCTCCATTTTTACAGGTTAGAGA